GAAAGAACCTGAAACACAAATACTCTCTAACAGTTGCAATTTTTGGAAAAGGAAAAAAACAGTGTCAAGGGAATATTTGTAATTTTGAAAGATGAGTGATTGTTTTTATAATATTAGTTATCCTAAAGCTTCACGAGTAGTTTTTGTAGTTAACCATTTAATTTTTCAGGATTGACGTGTAACTTTTTTATTTCCATTCGCTGGATATTCTGATCAACTTAATTCTATGTTTTCTTTCCGTATTCTCTCATGCCAAACAGCTATGGTGCATGAACGCCCAAAGCATGAAATAAGGAAAAAGAGAAGCAGATGGCAGGCTATCTATCATAAAGTTACTCTTTCTGTTTTGATGAAACACTTAATAGCTGGATATGGTTTTTGTACCATGGACACGTCTTCAATTGTTTTACGCTTTTCTTGAGTACTGTGACAGCTGAAGTTTGTTTCAGTTCGTTAAGTCAGGATTTTGCTCAACCCTTTCCGTCTGTATAGTATTCTGCTGAAGATTAATTCAATTCATCCTTTTGCTATGAGATTTATTTGCAGCCTGAATGATTTCTTAATTTGGATCTTTATGCATGCTGGAAAGCTACATGCAAGGAGTTTTGTTATTTTAGTGATAATCGTAGTTCAATGTTCGAAGTTATAATTCTGTGGTTTGATTTTGAACTGTTAATGATGCATGAATTTGGCTACAGTCTTATTGGATATTGTTAGACAATATACTATAACAAGAAAACCAACATGAATTTGATGCATAGGCTCATTGTTTTGCATTATACAAGAAAATCTCTTAAGTTAACTTGTAAGCCTACATGTTCCCAAAATGGTGATTGATCACAATTGTTTCTGAAGTCGTTTTCCATGGAAAGTTTACGGGCGTCTGGTCACGTTAAGTTTGAGGCCGTTCTCCATCGAAAGTATTGTCATCATCCTGTACTTGACTTGATGGCCAGGCACCAACTCAAACTCATAAAATCTGCACAAAATTGCGAGTGCCATTTTCATCTGCAGGTAAGCAGAGTCCTTCCCGAGGCACATTCGTGGTCCTGCCTGGCAAATAGCCAAAAGCTTTTTATAGAAGTCATATAAGAAGCAGAATCACATATGTATATCTATATGTTCTGTATACAGATTTGAATGAACCTGGAACGCAGTGAATTTAAATGGGGATGCGTTTTGGAAAACTCCATCTTTGAGCCATCTCTCGGGTTTGAACAAAGCTGCATCGGGCCCCCAGTTGTACTCCATTCTTCCCATGGAGTACGGTACGTAAGTCACCATTCCCCCTGATTTCACCTTTGTTCCATCTGGTAAAACGTCGTCTTCTAATATTCCCTTCGGATCCTAGTTACAAAACAACCTCACAATCTTTAAAAGATTTCGATACAAACCCTTTAAGGAGCGTTTTCTGCAATTCGTAATGATAATGGCTTATTCTTGAAAATTATGAAAAAACTGCTCTATTTTCACAAGGTACTTTATGTTTGATATATTTTTTTTTTTTCTAGAAACTTCACTAATAGAAGAAGCACTAGAATTTAATTGAGCCATTTTGAATGGACTAAATCAAAATGGCTCAATTAAATTCTAGTGCTTCTTCTATTAGTAAAGTTTCTAGAAAAAAAAATATCAAACGGCGCAATGCACCTTGGGTCGCTACGGAAACAGCCTCCTTGTATAATTATAAGGGTAAGGCTGCGTACAACTGACCCCCCAGACCCCAACTTGTTGGGCAACTTGTTGGGAATATACTGGGTATGTTGTTGTTGAAAAATAAGAAATGTAAGAGAAAATTCGGAGTTTTTTGTTTAGTATCTTGAAAAAATTCAGCAAGGATGGCATATATTTAATATTTTAGGTTAATCCCACCAAGGTGCGAAACGCAAGATCAATGCAGCTACAAACAGGTGGATCTTTCGATTTTTAGAGTCAGTTGAGTGTTCTTCGTGATTTGTCCGGACATGAAGAGGTAGTTTTTGTAAGCAACCGCTAGAAGTAGTTGAATAAGTAAAAGGGGATCACCTGAGGAACAGCAGGGTACAACCGAAGTGTTTCGGTTATGACAGCATGCAAGTAATAAAGCGTCCCTAACGAGTCATAGCTCAACAGTCCCGAAAATTGAACTATCCTCTCATCAAACGACTCTCGATCATCCTCATGATTATTATCCTTAGTTAAATCCCGTTCGAAGTCTCTTAGCTCCGCGTAGAGCTTTTGGGCCACATCTTGATGGCTCATTATCATGTAGATGGCCCATGAGAGAGTTGTTGCGGTCGTGTCCCGGCCCGCAATCACAAAGTTCAAAACAACATCTCTCAAGCTCTTGTCTGTCATGTTGTTGTCCGGATCTTGGCTTAGCTCTATGAATCTCGATAATATGTCGTGTTTGATCTGATCATATATTTTATTCGTTTTGTTAGGACAAAATACGTTATTTGCAACACGGGCCTCAAGTTCACTGAAAATTGTACACTTACACATAGTAGTCTTTTGTGAAACTCTGGTTAAGAGAAAAACTAGAATGTATATTCGATAGGTTGCATAAATAAAAGGTTGAAATATGTTGGTCACCTTTTCATCTTTGTTATTTCCCAACCCTTGTTCTATTTCTGCCTTCCTTCTCTTGATAACAGAGTATGTAAAATTGTCGATGGTTGTTATATCCTGATTGAGCGTGGCCTCTGTCCCGATATTCAAGAACTTCTTTATTCTCCACAGAGGGTCGATAAATCTGAGAGTCACCGTCACGTTTGCAGAGTCAAATGCCTTAGCAAACTCGTTGTGCGGTAAGTTTGGAGCCAATGTCCCTATTTCCACTCCAAATCCCACTTTGCATATGGAGTCAAGTGTCATCCTCATCAGAAGCTCCTAAAAGGAAAAATATCAGACATATAAGTAAATAAAAAACTGTCAATGGATCAAGATATTTTTGTATAAATATATTTGTTTGTTTTAGCTTTATTACCTGCATATCTACTGTCTGATTATTGTGGGATGCTTGACTGAGGATTTCGGAAAGCTTAAGGCTATACTCTCTGAAAACAACTGTGCTAAAGTCCCTCAAATTCTTGGATGCAAACTCGAAGCTAGCCGTTTTCCTCTGTTTTCTCCAAAGCTCCCCATCGACATTGAAAATGCCGTCTCCAAGCAACACCTCCATATATGAATGGTAAACCTCACCCTGCAAACGATCAAGATTTTGAAATTTCGTCAATGGTTAATCATGATATTAGTGCAAAATCTACGCTCGTTTTATTTTCTTTGGGACAATCCTCGTGCATTTCAATCCTATGTCAAGATGTTAATTAAATTAGTCCAAGAAATTGCAAAGTTGTGATTGTTAAAAATTAGTCCAATAAATCTTGGGATTTTAAGACAAAGAATTTCGATGGCTGCCAAAAATCGCAATTGCAACTTTTATTACGAAATGCTTCAGTAGTATGTGCATGGTGTTCGTGCATTATGAGACGAGCCTACAATGAAATACTTTCTTTTTTTTTTCGTGTCACCTTTGGATAATTTCTGAAATTCTTTCTCAGCACGTGCTCTACATCAGCAGGGTTAGCAATGTATGTATATGTCGTGAACGGCATTGGCACGACTACGTTTCTTGATTTCGACAAATACTCAAGAATCCAATCGTGCATTGTGTCGTAGTTCGTGATTTGCTCTAAGGCCGCTCCCAAAAACGGCCACGTTTTGGGCCCTTTGCCATTCTTCTGCTTCAATCTGTGGATGAAAATCCATGAAAACAGTATGCAGAAAAGGGTTAGTATTATTACTTGCATTTTCTTCTTTCAGATGAATGAAACGAATGGTTAGTTATATGATTGGGGAAAAAGATAATTATGTCTTATTGGTTTGATTTTTCTCCTCCTAATGTTACTGATTATGTGCATGTATATATAGTGTTGTTGGAGATAGGTTTTGTAACATTAGGTGGGAGATAGGTTTGTAAAATTAGGAAGCAATCTTGGCATGGTAGAATATCACACTCTTGGAGTTTTTTTCTTTTGCTTTTTTTTTTTGTTTTTTTCAAATAAAAAAATGTTTTCACAAAGATTAATTTAATTAATCTCATTTTTTCCACTAAAATCTCACTAACATAAATAAGAATAATTAATTTTTTTAATACATTTTTCAACAAATTATGCTATTCACTCAATCATACAATTCTAACCCATTTATAATTAATTTTTTTAATACATTTTTCAACAAATTATGCTATTCACTCAATCATAGAATTCTAATCTATTTATCATTAATAATTAATTAATAATTAATATTTTATGCACATCAATTTTAATTATAATATTCTAAACTTAAATCCAATAAATTCAATCTACCTGCTGGTGGTAGATTGTTGGATCACACGCTACGCACATCCAATCACATGTAATTGTGTATTAATTTGATGTTAATAAACTTTGTGTGAGTACTACCACATGGGTAACATGGAATTAACCCTTACATTCAACCATTCTTAAGTCTTATCTCACTCTTTAAAAAGAAATATATACTTTTTTCTAGTATATATTTTTTTCTCGGTATTTGAACGAGATAATTTTTTTCCTAAAATTTCTATATTTAACTGCGACTAGATTGTCTTATTTTTATTTTTATCTTAATTAATTTTACCAACAATTAAATTCCTTCCACATTATTGTACTTTATGGAAATACTAATAAAACTTTGATGTGTTCAAGTTGCACGGAAATTATATATTTTGACTAGTTTATGTGCATTTATAAGTTAAAATCTACCTTCTTATCCTATAAAAAAAATAAGAGACTTAGGGATGTATTCCTTTAAGATTCTAAAAGACTATTTAGGGGGTGATTGGATATGAATTCAACTAGTAAAAAACTAGTTTTTTTTTTTAACTATAGTTAAGTTTGAAAAAAAGTAGTATGGTTAGTTGTTAGTGGATATATTAAAATAATATTTAAATTAAAATAATTAAAGTTGATTTGATATAAAAGTAGGAGAAAATGATTGGAAGTGATGGTTAGTTAATATTATATGAGTGTGTGAATAGTGAATTAAAGTTGATGTGATGTATAATAATGATTTTTTGATATTATTTAATTATATTGATAATATTGGAGATAGTGGAGTTGAGTTAAAGTTGAGTTAAATTTGAGTTTTGAGTGGGATATTTACTGTAGAAAATATAAACAATCACACCCTAAGGATTTTATTAAGAATAGGATTGTATGGGATTTCATCAATTCTCATGGATTTTGTTAGAAATCTCCCAATGTAACATGTGACATTGTTTAGGAATTCTATAGATTTCTTAAGACTTTTCAAGAATTTTGCATACTTTTTTTTAAATTGAATAAACATCAACATTAATATATAAATATACCCTTGTGAGAATTTGTGAGAAAATTTATACATGAAATAAAATAAAAATCAATTTGAACAACGAGCAATGTGAATTTTCTATTTTATTGTTTGTTTATTTATATTTTTTAACAAAAGTAGTTCAATTTGTAATATTTTTTTATTCTATCCAATCAACCATACAATCAATACATCAATAATTATATTTTTTTTTCTCACTTATAATTTTTCATTCTATCAACTCACCGCATAATCTCCAATATCAAATCAAACAAGCCAGAAAATTCATATAGTTCATAATACTCCGACAACATAAAGTTCATGAAATAAAAAACCAAGTCCAACCTACTCAAAACAATGAACAGAAAGTTCATAGCAATCTTTTTATATATAAATCATTTCAATTTATATGCTATCCACTAAGCTCGTTCATCCGGGGATATGTTAAAAAACTCTGACTTTTTTGCTTTAGTATTAAGCAAATCAAGAACTTTGAAACGATCCTCAGAAGTTAAGCCTGGAATCTCCTTAATCAGATCCCAACAGTTGTACTCTTTGTGTCAATTGATTCAATGGCACGAGTAAACTTTTTCACATTTGATGTAAGCTTTTTTATGAGATCTTGGGTATCTTTAGGATCAAAAGAGACAACCTTAGTTTGAGAATCTCGTTTTCTTGGAGGTGGACAGGGCTCTAAGCATGGTTGTTGAGTTGAGGTTGGCATGAAAGAATTCTCATGAGATAGTGGAGGAAAAGGATCTTGGGTACTTGACGGAATAAAGGCATCACTTGAGGGATCATATGTGAAATAATCTAGCAAGCTCCCATTTTCTCTATTTTCTTCTATAATGTCGTCTCCTAAGACAATAGAGTGTGTCCCTCTAGCTGTACCGTTATCAACTGCAATTCTCAGATCTTCATAGAGCTTGAATCTTTAGGATGAGACTGGTAAAACAAAGAAAAATAGTAATTGTACGTTGTACCGAACTTCTTATTTAAATTGTTAAGGTTCGATTTATATATTCTTAAGTAGGAAATTCCTGAATCGAAGATTTTTGGGGCATGTGCAGTGAAGAACTTTGTTGCGGAATCCCATCCAAAGCCAGAGTTATGTCGCATAAGCTCATTGTATTTGGCAGATTGTTTCTTAAAATATTTCACTCGACTTATATATTGACTGTAAGTCCGGGCGATCCCTAACTTTTCATTCAAAAGTTTTAATATATGTCTTTCGACAGTTATCTTATTTATTTTCTCAGCATGATCACGCCAACCACGATTAGAAATATCAACCATAAGTTTAAGAAGTTCATTGCTCTCTTCAATAGTCCAACTTTGATATCCTGAACCTTGATCATTTTCTTTCACAGGATCTCCCATTGCCTGTTATAGATTGTTTAATCAAAAAACAAATGAGAAAAAAAAAATTATGGTAGCACCAAACTACTATAAATATGCTCTTGCACCAAACTACTATATATATATATATAGGGATTGGTTCCAATGCATCCACTTATTTAAAGTAAGGACGTGAGACTCATTTTTAACCACAAGATTTGGTACATCATGTGTGACCAAGATTTACTCTTTTCTTTTTATTATTTTAATTATTTAAATATTATTTTGACCTGTTGACTCCGGCATTGACCGTTGACTTCTGGCGTTGACCGTTGACAACTAACCTTCCAACTAGGTTAGTTCTATGTAGTTGCTAGACTAATTGTCTGTAGTTGCTAGGTTAGTTCTCTGTAGTTGCTAGGTTAGTTCTATGTAGTTGCTAGGTTAGTTCTCTGCAGTTGCTAGGATAGTTGTCTGTAGTTGCTAGGTTAGTTCTCTGTAGTTGCTAGATTAGTTATCTGTAGTTGCTAGGTTAGTTATCTGTAGTTGCTAGGTTAGTTCTCTGTAGTTGCTAAATTAGTTCTTTGTAGTTGCTAGGTTAGTTCTCTGTAGTTGCTAGGTTAGTTGTCTGTAGTTGCTAAGAGCTAGGCGCATTTTAAGAGCTGGATGCATTTTAAGAGCTGGCTGCATTTGATCCGCCCCCTATATATATATATATATATATATATATATATATATAGATATCCGTATACCTGAGTCTTTCTCCTGGCAACCCCTTAACAATAACAATATCGAAAGGCTCAGAATTTTTCTTTTTCGCATATTGCCAATTCTTCTGTTTGATATCACACCTTTTCTTATATAATCCAACAAGGTCCAAAAAAATTGGCAAGATATCTGAGTAGCACTTCACAGACTTTGCAACTTCGGAATCATCATTTACCGACCAACGCGAGTTATAAACATAAAATAATCTATCAAAGAACGAAAGTATGCTAAGGATCCACCGACCTACTTCGTCTAGCTCAATGTATATCAGGAATAGAACGTGATCAACTTCAACCCATGGTTTTCCACATATTTGTTTGTAACCCATTATATAATCAGAAATGAGGCTGGATACATTAATGACACTTTCCGACGCATGCTCAATACACCTCATATACAACGACTTGATTGTTTCATCAAAAAGTGGATCAGTAGTTGTGTATCTCACGGCTCTTTCCGAATTCGAATACAACCGGATTTTCCTCAAGTAGTAGAAAGTAACTTCAATATGCTGTGAAATGAAATAAACAAATTAATAATGTCAAAAATATGTAGGAAGAAACAAACAAGTATTGAAAAATTTAATATAATAGTAGGGACTAACACTGGCTTCGCAAAAAAAATCCCGGCGCAATAAAACCATGCCTTATCACTAATTTTAGCAACGTTAAAATCAAGAGGTGGATCGATAGTACCATGCTCCCTGTCATAAAGAATAAGACTATGCAAAAACAAAAATATCATTATAAACATGGGAATTAATAAATATTTAAAAAATAAATTATGAAAAAAAATGAGAGAATTACCAATCCTGCCTCATAATAGGATGATGTAGAAGACCCTTATGAATCCACAACTCAAACTCTTCAGCATGGACTATTTTTTCATCATCCTCCTCGAAAAAAGAATCCAACGGACATGACCCGTGAATCCTATGTTTCACAATTTTCTTCAGTTTCTCCTTGTTATTCAAATTATTTTAACTATGAGCATCCAAAACATAAATACAAAATGTGTGAAAACCATTACCTTCAATCACTTGTTTACAAGATTTTTGGTTTCCAATGAATGTATTCATCTTCCCAGAGTTAAATTCAGAGGCAGCTACTTTATTAATCAATTACTGATTTGAGTTTATTTAAGACAATTCAGTTGAGAGACTTTTTCTCCACAAATAATTATTTATTCCTACACTTTAGCTAACTTCCTCCATAAATAATTATTTATTCCTACATTTTAGCTAACTTCCCTTAGAGATGTACGAACAGTTGCATCTTATCTTGTATGTTTGGGAAGAAAAAGTCGACTAGATAATTTGGTAAAATGTATAAATAATACCTGTAGGTGGAGTCATTTCCTCTTAATTAAATGCAGAATGACCAGAAAAACAAAATAGGCCCAATAAAGACCCAAAGCGAAAAAAAAAATAAAAGCAAAACGCATAGGTAGAAGTTTAAGGTGTACACATANAAAAAAAAAAAAAGAAAAAAAGCAAAACGCATAAGTAGGAGTTTAAGGTGTACACGTGGCTTTTAGGGAAGCTCCACAACTTCCCTTTATTAAGATGTAGAGGGAAGTAAGAGATATTAACTTAATTATTCTTATTTTACATGGGTTTTTGGAGGCCATTATGGTCATTTATCATATGACAACTTTCGCCTTACTGCCTCACATCACTTCCTTGTTCTCACGCACACGCAAATAATTTTCTGAGATTTTTTTCCTGAACCTGCTCCACAAGATTTTTTTTTAACAAACATTCTGGAAAGACGAGGGATTGAGGCCAAATATTCAACCTATAGACATGTCAAAACTCCAGATTGGGACGAAAACAAGATTAATTTACAAAGACAAATCCACACGGAGAAAAAAGTAAAAATAAAAAACGAAGTCTGGGCCAACAGGTGCCCAGTGATAAGATTTGTACCACAAATGTTAGCTAAAACATAAACAACACGTGAACTAGAGAAGCGAAAAGATGGATACCCAAGTTGGTCCATGCGCACCAACAACGGCGGAGCTACAAGAGACTTGGGGGTGCCGTGGGCCCCCTGTTATATATATATGCTATAAAAAATATATAGAAATGAAAAAAATATTTACAATATATTAATAATTAAAAACTCTCTATGGTATTTTAATTTAAATTAATAATCTTATATATTCATTGAAAAATGTACTAACAATACTTATATTTTACATTTCTAGATAAGTTTTGACAATATTTATAATGATTTACTCTTTTGGTCTCTTAGTTGTAAATCCATTTAGTGATTTATAAAACGAGTAGTTATTGTTACATTTTTAAATTATACTCACTCTCATCACTATTATCAATATAACTAAATAATATCAATCAATCATCATCACATCATATCAATTTTTCGGTCATCCACATTCATCACTTTCAATCACTTTTCTCATACTTTTAAATTAAATCAACTTTAATTATTTTATTTTAAATATTATTGTATTACAAAACCAAAATATCATTCAAACCTAATTTAATCAATTTTCTTAAAATTAATTATAATTAATAAAAAACAATCAAAACTTAATCGAATCTATATTCAAGCACCCTCTAAAGCTTTGTTGGTGGTGGACCCATGATAGGCCAAACTTACCCTCAAAATGATTAGGCTATAACATTCCGTTTTGACCAACTTATATCAGCTAATTGAATTCCTTCTCATCTTAAAAGAAAAAACAAAAGAACATTTTATTTATTATGTATAAAAGTAGTGGACAACATGCATGCACCAATCGTTGTTGCACACCTCATTAAATTCCACCCACCATTCTAAAAGTTCTTATCCTTTTTATCCTCAGCCGTCACAATTTTATGGAAAAAATCATTACTTATTTGTTAGACAACTATTGGAATCCAATATAAATAAATAAAAATGCTAAGGTCTCGTAGCATCTCTAATAAAAATTGTGTGGTATAATATGAAAGAAAAGAAATTAAAAAAATATGTCTTCAATAGTTAGTGTTAATTGTGGTATCATTTGTGATGTGTAAAATTGTAATTGATTTGAGAAAAAAAAATTGAATAAATAATATAATATATATTGAAGTTCTTTAGAAGAATTTCTACATTTAGAAAGTCTTCTAGACATTTTTCATGTCATACAAGATTTTTTGTGTCATGTGACAACAAAATAAAGTAATGAAAAGACCATTAAAGATGCTCTCATCTCATGTTGTAAATTGACCTATTCCTAGTTGATTTTTTTTTCTTTTCAATTTGCATATTGAATAAAACGTCAAAAGTAGGGACGATTTAATATAAATAAAACTAGTTAAAATTAGATTAACTAGTTAAATTGCGTTATTTCGTATAAAATTGATTCAGTGAAAAATTGAGTAGAATTTTAAATTTATATTTAATAATATTTAAAATGTAATGATTAAAGTTAATGCGATGTAAATAAGAGATATAATTTATTGAAAATTATAGATATTTAAAAACAAGTGAGTAGATTATATTTAATTAAAGCTCATGTAATGTGAGTGGATGATCGATTGATATTATTTAATTATATCAATAATATTAAGGATGGTTGAGTTTAGTTAAAAATTAGTTGAATTTCGAGTAAAATGATGTAAAGTAATTATCCACTCAATCTTTTTTTTTTTATCGGAACGATAGAGATTTTATAGAAAAACATATTTAAAAAACAGCCCAACAGCCGAAAAGGCAGCTCAAGAGCCGAATCTACTGGAAGGACATATCCTAAGATCGCCTAGAACCAACACTAGAACAAAACGCACCCAGAAACAACCAGAAAAACACCTAACTCCACAACTGGAGAAGAAAAACTCTCATACGGGAGAAAACACACACCCTTACGGGAGAAAGCACAAAGTACAACAACACAAAACACCAACTACACCAAACTCAAAACACAAAAACCAAGCACCAACAACACACCAACAAAACACGAAAAA